GGACCTTAGGCATATAGTTTGGTGCGATGACCTTAACTGACCTGAACTCCAGAAACAAGAAAATATACATAATTGGTCCTGACTACATATTCAAAACAATCCTTTTTAGGCTCAAAATTATAATACTGTTTTTATCTTTAATTACACTAACTTTAGTCTTACAAACTCAAATATACATAACAGTAAACAGTTAATGAGCTCACAGATGTAGGAAGTTCATTGCCGGTAAATTCATTAGACTTTCTCTTCAGACTTGTGATTCTTTATGAACAATTCACTCAAAAAACCGACTCATAAGATTGGTTCATTCCCGCAAAAATAGATAAAAGACATGTTTTCTTTGTAATAGTTTTTAATTCGATGTATATTCGGTGACTTGCTGTGCAGGAAACACTGGCATGAAGGTTTTGTTCACCTTTCTGTGCAATGACGCAGAAGTCTTCCTGCAGTTTGATGTAGTCACTGGCGTTGTCGATACTGTCAGTCAGACGTGTGACAGGGGTTTGAAAATCCACCAACTCCGCACATAGGTTAGGATTAGAGGAGTGGAGACGCACTTGAGACATACTTGCACTCAGGGGAACCTGAAACACACACACACACACACACACAAACTACAGTGAGACAGAAGTGATCCCAGACATGGTCTCAAGATAACCAGCAACAGGGGCTTGGGGAAACAAGGCAGGCCAACAGTTTCCCTCTCAGAGAACAGCGATTCCTTCCACTGATGAAAAACCAGACGTAGTATAGTTGAGTTAGACTTTAGTAGAGAGTTCACAGACACAAAAACACAAATGCCAAGCAGTGTAAAGGTCAACGGTGAAATGAGGTTAGTTCATGCATAAAAACATGTGAACCATCAACACATGATGACATGTGAACCATCAGCATGCGTTAATGTGTTAGCATAAGCTCAAATAATCAAAACAACAACCATAAAGTCACACTAGGTCAACACAGGCATATGTATGAGTGTGTTTAAAGTGCTTAGTTGAAAGTTGGATTGAGTCAGAACAAAACCCCATTATTCAGAGCTGCTGACATCCATTTTATTTTTAAAGCATTGTTAAAAACTCTTCTTTTTTTTTACTGTAGAAAATGTATGCTTTGAATTTGAGGATGCAGATACATACTGCAAGCACACAGTCTGCACTATTTCGGGTCGACTCATTATGGTACATGCAACTGTGTGGCTATGTTGTGACGCCATGAATACTGTTTCCAGGTCCAAGCCTCTACGACAACTGGTCATGAGCACTAGGCCTATTCATTTACTGCAAAACTTTAAGCTAAGCTTTTAAAAACTCATGGTGGACACTACAGTCTACATAGCCTGGCTCCGCCCTCCTACGTACTTCCGCTCAATTTTCATATTTCTTCAGTACTACATCTGGGATTGTGGTTTATTCTTTGGTTTTCTCAAGTCAATATTTTACCGGTCCAATCAGCGAACAGAGGGAGTGGCTGAGAACGTTGACGTTGATGTTGTGCGCTAGTTTGAGTTGCCATATGTCACGACCAAACGTTAGCGATTGGTTATGGCAGATCCAGAGTGGCTCTGGGCAGATCCAATAGTTTTAAACTTCAACAGAGTACCCGCCTACAAGGAATTAACGCTTGTCAATGGAGCGAGGCCAGACTCTCTGTACAAATGAAATCTACGAGAGTCTGGTGGGACCAGGCTACAGTCTACAGGCTTACGGTGATATTTCGGTAAACAAGCGGATACTACAACGCCTTTAGGTCATTGGTCAGTGCACTAGGACACTGGATTCCAAACCTGGTCCCCCTGGACCACACATCTCTGGACATACTGTATGGTTATCTAAATCAAAGCACATCTGAATCAACTATTCAGCTTGCTAGTAGACTCCAAAACCTCAAACTGGTTTGGCAAACAAGGGAGATCTAAGATGTGTAGTATTGGGGGTTATCAAGTACCAGGGTTGGAAGCCCCTGCATAGACTCACATCATTTAGCATTTTTCCACTTGTGGCATCTACACATTTTCTTTGTTTATCAAGCTAGATTAACCCAGCAGAGAGAGAAAAATATAGTTACCATATATTTGGCTCTCAAGCTTGAAGACTAGGTAATAAAAATACTTTATTTTGTAGTGGTTTTTACCACTTTACCAAGTTCACAAAGTTATGTGCTCCCTCGAGGTCCAGTGTTCTAGTTTATCTTTAGTTTATTAGGTCCAAGTTTATCTCCAACCCTAATCAAACCACATGAACAAACTAATCAAGGTCTTCGGGATTACTAGAAAGATTAAAAGATTATATTTAATTGACCAGTCAAATACACATGGCTCCTGCATAGAAGGCTTTGTCCAAATGGCATCTCATCTTGACCCACATGTCATCTATTCAGTGTGCTCAGGCACTAAACATACTAAGGCCACTGCTGATTATTTGCTTTCATTAACACAAACTCTCTCCAAGGGTGTTTCCCAGGACAGCAATCTTTATGCAGGATTTATGGTCAAGACCCCTAACAGGGTGGAGGAATGCTTGCATTGATGTGAGGTCTTCACTCCTTTGGAGGACCAAGAACCAGGGTCGTTATCGGGGGGAACAACTGGGAACATTGTCCTGGACCCTGGACCTACTAAGGTCCTCTATGGCATAGCCTACTCATTGGTTGAAGGGACAAGGGGCCCCCTCACACAAAGTGTGTCCTATCCCACATGCATCTGAGTGGCAACTCTGGCAAGAAGGAATAGGGCATTTTCTCTGTCCTCTGATCTGGAGCTTTGAACAAAGTTATCTCAGAATTTAAGGACCTAAAGTGTTGATACAGAAATCACAAGGATTTGTGTATCGATATTCAGAATCTCTTAAATCTGTGCATAGAGGTGACTGGTTTACTGATCTCAAGAATGCATATTTACACATTCACTTATGTTTCCAACACACAAAAAATCTAAGATTTTACATAATCTAAGATTTTACGAATTCCTAGTCTTTCCATTCGGACTCCCTCTAGCCCCATGCATCTTTAACAAATGTGTTTGACTCTTTCACACTGTTTTTTAAGGGCACACTTACAAGCATTATAGATGGTCATAAACCTAGAAAAACTTCTCTTGCTCAAAGTAAATTGGGTTCATGTGGCTGCACTTGGATCCTTATCAAGCATCCGCATTGCAACAGAAGAGGATAAGATTTCAGAATAGCTTGAACCAATTCAGTCTGAGGACACTGGTGTCCTTTTGTCTTTGTCTGAGGCTGTTAAATACTGGCAATGGCAGTAGAATTGTTACTCCTTTTCAGATTGACTTTCAGAGATGGGTGACTTATTTGAAGTTGAATCCCTCCAGACATTTATGCAGATAAAACTGAGTGTCAGCTTGATGCTTACAGTACTGCACATCTGGAGGAACAAAAAGTCTCTCGATGGCTGGTTCAATGATGGGATAAACCACAAGGTTCATCACTACAGATACAATTATTCATGAATGGGGGGTAGTCATTAAGGATCAGACAATAAATGGGACATGACATCTTTCTCTCAGAAGTGTGCACATCAACTACTTCTAACTAACTCTGTGCTGGTTGTTGGGATTTTCCAATGGTTGAATTCTCTTCCCTGAGATTGATGCATATTTCTGGGCCTGTCGAAGGCACAGGCATAGATTTGTTGCTGAAACCCACACCTGGGAGAGAGGAGATTTGGATGTAACAGTGTAGATTTGGAAAAGATAAGGCCTAAAACTGTCATAGATATGTTCACCTCAAAAGAAAATGCAGTGTCTGCTGTCCTTTTTACTGAGAGAACCAGACATGCTACTAGACATAGACACACTGGCACACGAGTCCAGTCTGCTTTATACATTTCTACCTGTCAGACCTTATCCTCCCACTCTGAAAATATCATATTGAGTTGGAGAGTGGCTCGGCTATGGCTGGGGAATCTATGGTTATCGGCAAAATGTATGAATGTTAAAAGAGATTTTATTTCTCTGGTATGATGGGAATTATTTCATCCCAAATATCTAATACCTACTGCATCAAACTGGTTTTTGCTAGTCTGGAATTTGAAATCCCAGCTTTTCATCATTCCCCATTCAGGTCTGGGGAGGAGGAGAGATGTGCTGTAGAGATATGGCTAGTGCACTGAGAGCAGTCCTTTGTTTTCAGATCCAGCAAGAGGTAGAGCAATGTAAAAAACATTTGTCTTGCTGGTAAGGGCAGGGGTGTCCAAACTCTGACCTGGGGATGAATTTCAAATGGCCTGCAGCTAGTCTATTAAAATAAATGTTGCCCGCCAGGCATAATTTAAAAAATCATGCAGTCTCATAATGTCAACACAAGGTGAAAGCACTAGATTTTAGGCCCGGTGTAGCAGTAAACAATGAGTGACAACAATTTGATAACTGATAATCACAGCAAATTTCTGTTGCATATGGCCCAAAAAGCTAGCCTGGATGCCAGCCAAACTTAGCCCCGCCCACAACATTTGAGGATGGGAAGTTCAGTCTGGACTTGATCCGTTGTGAAGCAAGTATGCTCGAACCAAAGCTGTTCGGACCAATCACATTGTCAGGGCAGGCTTTGTACGATGATGGACAGATGATCAACCGTAATGTAATCATCCACACCACGTCCAAAGAGCGCTTGGGTTAAATTCGTTTACTACAAAGATGGCCGCCGCTGGAGAACTGAGATGTGTAGATTCAGCCATCACGTCTGTTATAGAAGATGTAGACAGCGCATTCATTTTAAAAGAGGAAAAGAGAACCGCGATCAAGGCATTTGTCGATCGGAAAGATGTTTTTGCCATCCTTCCTACGGGATTCGGTCTATCCAATTGAGTGCAGAGGAATTGAAACACGCCCCATAATCACAGCCCAATGGAGCAGTATCAGACTCACATTCTGACTAGCATCTGAGTATGACGACGTCAGGCTACCAAAAAACAGCACAAGCTCAGAACCTATGCGTTTACTCGCTGACCGATGTGACCACTAAACAGCGCAGGGAGATCCAGTGAGAAGCGTTGGAGTTTAGGACAGAGGTCTCCCAATACAAACCACAAATGTCTCAGTATTGAAACTAGTTTAAAGCCAGATGAAACCGTGCTGACGTTCTCAACAACACTAATGAGGGAAACAGGAGAAGCATTGTGCAACAATACAGTTAGAATGCTTTTCAATCCACAAATCATCAACATTTACCATGGATTTACTGAAGTAACACCACTATCCTTGGCAGAAATGTGAGCTAATCTCATCAAATTGTATTATATTATTAATGTAGACATATTAAATGTATGAAAGGAGTAATGAAAAATAGGTCTGTTTGTAAAAATAGGTCTGTTCACATTTGTATTTATACTAAATGTGTTTATAGACTAAATACCATAGTGATTCTAGATAGAAACAATATTGTTACCTTTGACCATGGTAGTGAGGTGCCATGTGTGCTTTTACCTGTGGTTATCATGATATAAATGTATGATGCTATGGAAGACCAATAGTTATTTTTCATAAGAGTAGAGTTATAACTAAGCATATGTAAATGTTACCCTTTAAAAATGAGGTTGAATATCATTTTTACAGAAGTTACAGTTTGTGTTGATGAAAATAATGTACATCTGCATCCAAAATTATATATATATATATTAGGGCTGCCCTCAACGTAAGATTTTTCCAGTCGACTAGTAGTCGTTCATTTAAGCCATTAGTCGACTAATCGCGCGTTTATATTATAAAAGCCATAAATCATAATAACACGTATAGCCTAATCAGCGCACACATTCAAACATAAAGCTTGCCACAGCGCACCGGTAAAAGAAAGAAAGAGGCTGTCTAAACATTTTAATAATTTATTGGTAATGTTTTCTGTGTTTTCGGCTGCAGCGATTAACTCAACGATGCTGACTCGTCATCTCCGCCTATGTGCTCGTTTCAGACGGATTACATAATCGGAGAATATTTATTTTCCATTGGAATCTGTTCATTCAAATGTCCCTTTTTAGAGTTTTTTCTTTTTCTGCGACTAAACAACTGGTAAAATGTAGATCGACTAACGGTTAGTCGACTTTTAAGGGACAGCCCTAATATTTATATATATATGGCCCCCTTTAAAAAAAGTTGGGGTTAGGGGAAGCCATCAAGATGTACTGTTCTTTAAGAGGCATCCAGGAGTCAGAGGTCATTCTACGGGGGTCATTCTTCCTCCTCAGTCCCGTTTAGAGCAATCTCAATAGACGATCTGTTCACTGGCCTGGTGAAATCATTAAAGCCTATCCGGTGCTAGAAGCAGCGTCTTGAAACGAATCGATAGTTCATCCCAAAAAAGAAAATTACTCACCCTCTTGTTGTCCCATACCTGCATGACTTTTTAGGATTGTACATGTGTTGGTGATCTTAGCAAGGTGACTAAATGAGAACTACTAGTTAGCTACATTTGTAACCTCAGTTCACTGAGAAACGTCACACAAAATGGCCTCCTTGTCCTCGGCTTACAGAAGAGCAGGTTTTGAATGAGTTGAGTCAATGGTCTAATGTTTGAATTGAGGGCTTTATGAACTACCAAACAGCTGTATGTCCCATGAGAGTCTACACCGTCCCATACCGCACTCAGAGAACTTGGGTTACAACCGTAACGTTGAGCTATTTCTAAAAAGGTCACACTGACAGGATGTTTTGCAGAGGGAATGTAAAGCAGCACTGCATGCGAGGGTTGGAGAGACTACAGCATGGTTATGTCATGGTGTAATACGAAGATAACACCGAAGTGAGGGTTCTGCTTACTTTAGCACTGTGTGACTGGGGAAGTGACTGGACCTGGGGGTGAACACAAGAGCCAGACACATATTTAACCAAACACAACCACCAGAGTTACTCACACACATGCCTCATTAACAGATAAGCATGCCAACATCACCGAAAACCATTTCCAATTCATTGCAGCTGACCTTACTAAGGAATGAAAAAGAGCATCTGTGGGTTTGTTGATTATATATTAGAAAATGATTTTGCCTTGTCCCTCAGTTTAAAAAAAAAAAAAATGGTTATGCACTTACAATGGAAGTCTGGGGCAGAATTAAATGTCTTGTCTCTTACATTATTGTCTTAATTAATGATCCAAATAAATAACTCATTCCAACAAAAGCAACATTTATGATGGAATAAAACAGAAATGGCCTGTCCCATTCACTCACATGCTTCTCTCATCTATAGTGATCCATTACAAATGCACAAAGTCCTTTAAACTATGGCTGATATGCCGTTAAAGCTTCGGAAAGAGTTTAAATGGTTTATAATGGATCCACTGAGTCAAATGTCAGGGCTTCAGAGCGTTTCGGCAGGCGGTCCCCTACGATGCGATGGCTCTGGTTAAGCACTGCGATAATGAGGTTGTTCAGAGGGCAAGTGGTCATGCGTGTGTGCGTGTGAAGGTTGAGGAAACGTACACACACTAAACTCTCTCAGCTGCATTAAAACTGTCTGGCAAACTGACTTAACAACTGAGCTACTTCTGCATGCATGCAACCACTCTTAAACTGATTCAGGAGCCTACTGTACATTTTGGAGCAATGCTATAATGTGCAGTCTCAGTAAAGTATGCCAGATTGTGGTAGTCCGCTATGTCCTCTATAACTCAGTTATTGTAAGATTAGTAATTTCAAGCAAACTGCATTTAGCACAGATTTTTTGGCTGTGATGGCACCGTCACCTGATTTGCGTAATTCCAGTGAAATGAATGCTAAAATGATGCAGACAATAGCCACGTTTCCATTATAGATTTGCAGGTTTTTTTATCAACATTTAGAAAGTAGCGCAAAAGTTTTGCGATATTTTATAAATGTTGATATAAAAAAAAAACGATTGCAAAATGATGGGGTTTCCATTAACCGATGTTGTGCGACTAAAATGTAATTTTTTTTAGAAAGTCATTCTACAAATCATGGCAACGGATGTTAGTAGGTTTATGTATATTGCAGCCACCGCACTATCCATTATCTTATGATGGAAGGAGCCGTATGATTGTATCCAAGCATTAATGGCGAGAAAAGACCTTTATACTTGTGTGTTTCTCCCTCCTTCTGCTTCAAGCTCTTGATAAATGTGTATAATTCCTGTAATACATTGTCTTTTATGAGTTTAATAAATAACTCGGGGTAACACTTTACTTGAAGGGGTGTGCATAAGACTGACATGACACCTTCATAATCATGACAGGACACATGTCATGAATATGAAGGAGGTTTTATGCATGTTTACAACAACTGTCATTAAGTGTAATTCGCTCAATTATGACATTTTGAATGCAAATATGACATTGTTTGAGATGTCTTTGTTATGACACCTTGACAAACCAATACATCATAACCTGTCAGTGTCTTTGTCATGACAACTTGAGATTACCAAGACTACATAAATTGTCATAAATATGTCATAAGTTTGATAATTAATCTGCTATGTCATGTTTAAGAAACCACTTAGCTTTATGGGTTAACATTACATTAAACTGTCAGGTGGTTGGTGTTGACATTGGCTGTCATGAGGGCATTATAACCTTTTAATGACAAATTCAATGTGTACCACTGTAGTTGAGGTCAGGAAAAATATTGATGACACAGATATAAAGGCTTCATGACAGCCAATGTCAAAACCAACCACACGACAGTTTAATGTAATGTTAACCCATAAAGCTAAGTGGTTTCTTAAGTTTGATAATTAATCTGCTATGCCATGTTTATGACATATTTATGACAATTTATGTTGTCTTGGTTATGTTAAGGTGTCATAACAAAGACATCTCAAACAATGTCATATTGGCATTAAAAATGTCATAATTGAGCGAATTACACTTAATGACAGTTGTTATAAACATGCATAAAACCTCCTTCATATTCATAACATGTGTCCTGTCAGTCTTATGCACACCCCTTCAAGTAAAGTGTTACCGAACTCGGTTTCATCTTCTGTCAAAACATACAGCGCGAAAAACTGTTTCCATTGCAGTTTTGCGAAATATTCCTTTTTCGAATTGCCTGAAAACCCCCTCATGCGAGCGTAAAAACTGTTCTGCGACATATGGGAGGTTTTGCGAAATTGACGTGTTTCCATTGGCCGTATTTTCAATTCACGATTTCAATTTGTGTAATATGAATGGTAATGGAAACGCTAGTGTAGAGCTGCACGATTCTGGACAAATGTAGAATCGCGATTTTTTTTTTTTTTTTTCAAAAAGAGATTTTGAACAGACAACTAAACAAAATAACATGTAATTTACTAGAGTTTGCTGCAGTCTATTTAAAAAAAGTTAAATTATTTGAATGAATTATTTAACAAAAACTCGGTTTGAGTGAATGATTCAATGATTCACTCATAAAGACTTCATTTGTTTCATTACTGAATCAATCAGCGTTTTTGAATGAAATTCTTGAATGAATGATTCAATGACAAACACATGTTTAACAGCCACTTGTCGCCGCCTAGTAATGATTTAATTGATACAATCTTCATTTGAAACACCAAGTTACTTCAAAAGGTGATTTGTACTATTTTGGCCGCTACCATCAGTGTTTATATCCGAACTATAAACTTTTATCCCAATACTTCTCTGATCATTTAAACATTTGTAACACAGAAATAATGATTCTGTGTGGCTGAAAACCTAAGCAAGACAACTACACTCTTTGGCTCTTGAATTGAGAACGGGATTAATCGTGCAGCTCTAAGACTAGCAGTAAATTACCCTCAGTGTTGGTTGTGTGTGTGTGTGTGTGTGTGTGTGTGTGTGTGTGTGTGTGTGTGTGTGTGTGTGTGTGTGTGTGTGTGTGTGAAGATGTACCTGCTGTTGCAATTTTGCATCTTTGCTGACACTTTTAGTCCTCCATCTTCTGCTGACACGCTTTTCTTTCTTTGTCAAATCTACACAGTTACTCTAAATTACATGGACACACACACACACACACACACACGCACAGCAAAGGGGTGAGAGGGTTAATAGCAGAAAACTGAAGCAATAACTCCATCGCTGTGGCAAAAGAAAATGAGATGCTGTAAACGAGCAGGCTGGGTCTCCATACGCAGGAGTAATGGGAATGACATCAGTGCAAATAATTGAAGGAAGAATCATAATGTTGTGTTTGAGGAGTAGAATTTAGTTTGAGGTTTACGTATGTAAAAAATACTATATATATTACGATAAACCTCAGCTGCATTTACAACAAATATTACAACTCTCAACAAATTCCCATATTTCATCAGATATCTGGCACAGATCAGAGATTCAAGATACTTTCTTAATTCTGAATGTTTCATCATCGTTATGAGAAAGTCTGGGCTTGGTCTGAAAGATATCTTGCATCTGCATGTTAAATGTCATATTACAAGGGTACATATTGCAAGCAGTGTTTGGGGAAAGTCACTTTAAAAAAATAATGCATTACAATATTTCGTTACTCCCAAAAAAGTAACCAATTGCGTTTTTATGTAAAGTAATGCGTTACATTACTATAATGCATTACATTACTTTTGCGTTACTTTTTCTCACCTGGGCTGGGCTTGCTTTTTTTTATAACATCAAAAAAAGTTATATTTTTGGCAAATGTTAAGGCCCTTTCACATCAAAAGTGAAGTGAATAAGCCTCAGGCTGAAGGAAATGCATATTTACGGGTGTACAGTAGAGGACGCCGCTCCACCAAACCTTTGAGCTGTTATCATATCTGGATTACAGAACAACAGGATACAGGAGAAGAAAGTTTGGTAACGCTTCCTTTTACAGTCCTGTTACCCATGTACTTATTATAGTAATTACAATTACTGGGTAATAACTAGGTACTAACCCTGAACCTACCCCTAACCCATGTGCTTACCTTATATTAGCCAGTACTTTCTAGGTGAGTACACTGTAAGTAAACGCAAGTACTGCACTGTAAAAGGAAGCGTTACCGAAAGTTCAACACTATTATTTTTAAATCTAATCTAAAGTAATTTTTGCTTATTAGTATGGTCGAATTAGATCATTGAAGGTCAGCAAAGACATTGGTTAAAAAAGTGAGATTAAATACATAAAGTATATTTGTTTAATTTAATATAGTTAATCATAAAAGTTTTGCATAATATTCTGAGATGGTATTTTACTGTTTTTATTCATTTTGAGAAATACTTTAATGTTTTAGTGCTAGTGAGATGAGTAAATGCATGTTACATTTAGTCTAGAACTAAAATAACCATCATGTTTACACAGCAAACACACACACACACACAGCACAAGCAACACCTCCTCACTTTATTTCTCTCAACATACATGGGGACAGGGTAGCTGTCAGTCTATAAATGTGAAAAAGTAACTAGCGTTACTTATTTGAAAAAGTAACTTAGATATTTTGTTGTAAATTGAAAAAGTAACTTAGATATTTTGTTGTAAATTGAAAAAGTAATGCGTTACTTTACTAGTTACTTGAAAAAGTAATCTGATTATGTAACTCAAGTTACTTATAATGAGTTACCCCCAACACTGTTTGCAAGACTACTCTCTTTTTTTTCCTAGCCGACAAGCAGGTAAAAAGTCGACTTGTAAATATTAAGCTTATGATTCACAGTGTGTGTTATGATGAGCGATTCCTTTTACTTGTACAGCCCACTGCACTGCTCGACCAACACAGTGCTAACCCGTCCAGCAGGGCATTGATATAAACACAGCTGCATAAGTGAATTCAAACAGACAGGACAAAAACATCAGCCTCGTGTCCGGATGTCAAACCTGTGCATTAGTTTAGCAGTGTAAGTGCAGCCAAAGAGAAATACACACTGCAGTGTGCAACACAGATATACTCACACACACACCATGAGGAAGCTGTTTAAAGCGGAGACCTGGGCTGATGAACACAGATGCTGAGTGTGTGCATGTACCTGCATGTCAGTGAAATTGGGAGCTGACTGAGTCCTTTGTAGGATCTCCAGACTTTGCAGCAGTTGATTCAACTCTAATAGACTAGACTGGCAGTAGGCGAGCTCTGAAACACACAAACACACACACCGATGAGACTCAAATGTAGTTTTTGTAAATAAGACAGAGGATCAGTCTTCAGGAACAATCTTGCACAAAAGTAAAAAAAATTAAGTAATTTTTTTTGTAAAGAACATATCAAAGCTTTAATAAACACAGATCTGTGATCAGACTTATCAACGCTTTAATAAACACAGATCTGTGATCAGACTTATCAGAGCTTTAATAAACACAGATCTGTGATCAGACTTATCAACGCTTTAATAAACACAGATCTGTGATCAGACTTATCAACGCTTTAATAAACACAGATCTGTGATCAGACTTATCAGAGCTTTAATAAACACAGATCTGTGATCAGACTTATCAACACTTTAATAAACACAGATCTGTGATCAGACTTATCAACGCTTTAATAAACACAGATCTGTGATCAGACTTATCAACGCTTTAATAAACACAGATCTGTGATCAGACTTATCAACACTTTAATAAACACAGATCTGTGATCAGACTTATCAACGCTTTAATAAACACAGATCTGTGATCAGACTTATCAACGCTTTAATAAACACAGATCTGTGATCAGACTTATCAACGCTTTAATAAACACAGATCTGTGATCAGACTTATCAGAGCTTTAATAAACACAGATCTGTGATCAGACTTATCAACGCTTTAATAAACACAGATCTGTGATCAGACTTATCAACGCTTTAATAAACACAGATCTGTGATCAGACTTATCAACGCTTTAATAAACACAGATCTGTGATCAGACTTATCAACGCTTTAATAAACACAGATCTGTGATCAGACTTATCAGAGCTTTAATAAACACAGATCTGTGATCAGACTTATCAACGCTTTAATAAACACAGATCTGTGATCAGACTTATCAACGCTTTAATAAACACAAATCTGAGATCAGACTTATCAACGCTTTAATAAACACAGATCTGTGATCAGACTTATCAACACTTTAATAAACACAGATCTGTGATCAGACTTATCAACGCTTTAATAAACACAGATCTGTGATCAGACTTATCAGAGCTTTAATAAACACAGATCTGTGATCAGACTTATCAGAGCTTTAATAAACACAGATCTGTGATCAGACTTATCAACGCTTTAATAAACACAGATCTGTGATCAGACTTATCAACGCTTTAATAAACACAGATCTGTGATCAGACTTATCAGAGCTTTAATAAACACAGATCTGTGATCAGACTTATCAACGCTTTAATAAACACAGATCTGTGATCAGACTTATCAACGCTTTAATAAACACAGATCTGTGATCAGACTTATCAACGCTTTAATAAACACAGATCTGTGATCAGACTTATCAACGCTTTAATAAACACAGATCTGTGATCAGACTTATCAACGCTTTAATAAACACAGATCTGTGATCAGACTTATCAACGCTTTAATAAACACAAATCTGAGATCAGACTTATCAACGCTTTAATAAACACAGATCTGTGATCAGACTTATCAACACTTTAATAAACACAGATCTGTGATCAGACTTATCAACGCTTTAATAAACACAGATCTGAGATCAGACTTATCAGAGCTTTAATAAACACAGATCTGTGATCAGACTTATCAGAGCTTTAATAAACACAGATCTGTGATCAGACTTATCAACGCTTTAATAAACACAGATCTGTGATCAGACTTATCAGAGCTTTAATAAACACAGATCTGTGATCAGACTTATCAGAGCTTTAATAAACGCAGATCTGTGATCAGACTTATCAACGCTTTAATAAACACAGATCTGTGATCAGACTTATCAACGCTTTAATAAACACAGATCTGTGATCAGACTTATCAACACTTTAATAAACACAGATCTGTGATCAGACTTATCAACACTTTAATAAACACAGATCTGTGATCAGACTTATCAACGCTTTAATAAACACAGATCTGTGATCAGACTTATCAACGCTTTAATAAACACAGATCTGAGATCAGACTTATCAGAGCTTTAATAAACACAGATCTGTGATCAGACTTATCAACGCTTTAATAAACACAGATCTGTGATCAGACTTATCAACGCTTTAATAAACACAGATCTGAGATCAGACTTATCAACGCTTTAATAAACACAGATCTGTGATCAGACTTATCAACGCTTTAATAAACACAGATCTGTGATCAGACTTATCAACGCTTTAATAAACACAGATCTGAGATCAGACTTATCAGAGCTTTAATAAACACAGATCTGTGATCAGACTTATCAGAGCTTTAATAAACACAGATCTGTGATCAGACTTATCAACGCTTTAATAAACACAGATCTGTGATCAGACTTATCAGAGCTTTAATAAACACAGATCTGTGATCAGACTTATCAGAGCTTTAATAAACGCAGATCTGTGATCAGACTTATCAACGCTTTAATAAACACAGATCTGTGATCAGACTTATCAACACTTTAATAAACGCAGATCTGTGATCAGACTTATCAACGCTTTAATAAACACAGATCTGTGATCAGACTTATCAATGCTTTAATAAACACAGATCTGTGATCAGACTTATCAACGCTTTAATAAACACAGATCTGTGATCAGACTTATCAACGCTTTAATAAACACAGATCTGTGATCAGACTTATCAACGCTTTAATAAACACAGATCTGTGATCAGACTTATCAACGCTTTAATAAACACAGATCTGTGATCAGACTTATCAACACTTTAATAAACACAGATCTGTGATCAGACTTATCAACGCTTTAATAAACACAGATCTGTGATCAGACTTATCAACGCTTTAATAAACACAGATCTGAGATCAGACTTATCAGAGCTTTAATAAACACAGATCTGTGATCAGACTTATCAACGCTTTAATAAACACAGATCTGAGATCAGACTTATCAACGCTTTAATAAACACAGATCTGTGATCAGACTTATCAACACTTTAATAAACACAGATCTGTGATCAGACTTATCAACGCTTTAATAAACACAGATCTGTGATCAGACTTATCAACGCTTTAATAAACACAGATCTGAGATCAGACTTATCAGAGCTTTAATAAACACAGATCTGTGATCAGACTTATCAACGCTTTAATAAACACAGATCTGTGATCAGACTTATCAACGCTTTAATAAACACAGATCTGTGATCAGACTTATCAACGCTTTAATAAACACAGATCTGTGATCAGACTTATCAACACTTTAATAAACACAGATCTGTGATCAGACTTATCAACGCTTTAATAAACACAGATCTGTGATCAGACTTATCAACACTTTAATAAACACAGATCTGTGATCAGACTTATCAACGCTTTAATAAACACAGATCTGTGATCAGACTTATCAACGCTTTAATAAACACAGATCTGAGATCAGACTTATCAGAGCTTTAATAAACACAGATCTGAGATCAGACTTATCAACGCTTTAATAAACACAGATCTGTGATCAGACTTATCAACACTTTAATAAACACAGATCTGTGATCAGACTTATCAACGCTTTAATAAACACAGATCTGTGATCAGACTTATCAACGCTTTAATAAACACAGATCTGAGATCAGACTTATCAGAGCTTTAATAAACACAGATCTGTGATCAGACTTATCAACGCTTTAATAAACACAGATCTGTGATCAGACTTATCAGAGCTTTAATAAACACAGATCTGTGATCAGACTTATCAGAGCTTTAATAAACGCAGATCTGTGATCAGACTTATCAACGCTTTAATAAACACAGATCTGTGATCAGACTTATCAATGCTTTAATAAACACAGATCTGTGATCAGACTTATCAACGCTTTAATAAACACAGATCTGTGATCAGACTTATCAACGCTTTAATAAACACAGATCTGTGATCAGACTTATCAATGCTTTAATAAACACAGATCTGTGATCAGACTTATCAACGCTTTAATAAACACAGATCTGTGATCAGACTTATCAACGCTTTAATAAACACAGATCTGTGATCAGACTTATCAACGCTTTAATAAACACAGATCTGTGATCAGACTTATCAATGCTTTAATAAACACAGATCTGTGATCAGACTTATCAACGCTTTAATAAACACAGATCTGTGATCAGACTTATCAACGCTTTAATAAACACAGATCTGTGATCAGACTTATCAACGCTTTAATAAACACAGATCTGTGATCAGACTTATCAGAGCTTTAATAAACACAGATCTGTGATCAGACTTATCAGAGCTTTAATAAACACAGATCTGTGATCAGACTTATCAGAGCTTTAATAAACACAGATCTGTGATCAGACTTATCAGAGCTTTAATAAACACAGATCTGTGATCAGACTTATCAACGCTTTAATAAACACAGATCTGTGATCAGACTTATCAACGCTTTAATAAACACAGATCTGTGATCAGACTTATCAGAGCTTTAATAAACACAGATCTGTGATCAGACTTATCAACGCTTTAATAAACACAGATCTGTGATCAGACTTATCAGAGCTTTAATAAACACAGATCTGTGATCAGACTTATCAGAGCTTTAATAAACGCAGATCTGTGATCAGACTTATCAACGCTTTAATAAACACAGATCTGTGATCAGACTTATCAACGCTTTAATAAACACAGATCTGTGATCAGACTTATCAACACTTTAATAAACACAGATCTGTGATCAGACTTATCAACACTTTAATAAACACAGATCTGTGATCAGACTTATCAACGCTTTAATAAACACAGATCTGTGATCAGACTTATCAGAGCTTTAATAAACACAGATCTGTGATCAGACTTATCAACGCTTTAATAAACACAGATCTGTGATCAGACTTATCAACGCTTTAATAAACACAGATCTGTGATCAGACTTATCAACGCTTTAATAAACACAGATCTGTGATCAGACTTATCAACACTTTAATAAACACAGATCTGTGATCAGACTTATCAACGCTTTAATAAACACAGATCTGAGATCAGACTTATCAACGCTTTAATAAACACAGATCTGTGATCAGACTTATCAACGCTTTAATAAACACAGATCTGTGATCAGACTTATCAGAGCTTTAATAAACACAGAGCTTTAATAAACACAGATCTGTGATCAGACTTATCAACGCTTTAATAAACACAGATCTGTGATCAGACTTATCAGAGCTTTAATAAACACAGATCTGTGATCAGACTTATCAACGCTTTAATAAACACAGATCTGTGATCAGACTTATCAGAGCTTTAATAAACACAGATCTGTGATCAGACTTATCAACGCTTTAATAAACACAGATCTGTGATCAGACTTATCAGAGCTTTAATAAACACAGATCTGTGATCAGACTTATCAACGCTTTAATAAACACAGATCTGTGATCAGACTTATCAGAGCTTTAATAAACGCAGATCTGTGATCAGACTTATCAACGCTTTAATAAACACAGATCTGTGATCAGACTTATCAACGCTTTAATAAACACAGATCTGTGATCAGACTTATCAACACTTTAATAAACACAGATCTGTGATCAGACTTATCAACGCTTTAATAAACACAGATCTGTGATCAGACTTATCAACGCTTTAATAAACACAGATCTGTGATCAGACTTATCAACGCTTTAATAAACACAGATCTGTGATCAGACTTATCAGAGCTTTAATAAACACAGATCTGTGATCAGACTTATCAACGCTTTAATAAACACAGATCTGTGATCAGACTTATCAGAGCTTTAATAAACACAGATCTGTGATCAGACTTATCAGAGCTTTAATAAACACAGATCTGTGATCAGACTTATCAACGCTTTAATAAACACAGATCTGTGATCAGACTTATCAACGCTTTAATAAACACAGATCTGTGATCAGACTTATCAACGCTTTAATAAACACAGATCTGTGATCAGACTTATCAACGCTTTAATAAACACAGATCTGTGATCAGACTTATCAACACTTTAATAAACACAGATCTGTGATCAGACTTATCAACGCTTTAATAAACACAGATCTGTGATCAGACTTATCAGAGCTTTAATAAACACAGATCTGTGATCAGACTTATCAACGCTTTAATAAACACAGATCTGTGATCAGACTTATCAACGCTTTAATAAACACAGATCTGAATCACTGTCATTAAGGAATAAGATCATGTGGGTGTTTGAATTGATTTTTACAATTAATCGTGCAGCTCTAAATATATTAATAATTATACACAACTTACAAATTATAATTATATGCAATAAATTTTTTTTTTGTGGTAAAATGTGACAGACATCTTCTTGACAGGTTTAATGAGATGAGCCATATAATGAAACCCTAATTATTCAGAATATATTGTGTGTTACCTTCTGCACACTTGTCCATCTCCTCTGACTCCTTTAACCAGGCCGCCACTTTACTCTGTCCATTACTGCAGGATGGAGGCAGGTGCCAGGGCAGACTGGTGGGCTTACCCTGCTGAACACACACACACACACAAGACAGGGCACATAAATACACACACACACGTTCAGCTGTCTGAATGAAGCTTAACATAGATTTCTGTTGCTTTTAAAGTCAACATGACAACGCATTTGCAACCCTTAGGGAATTGAATACTTGAGGTCAGGAATCGGACACTTGTTATAAAATTAAAATTTCGATTCCTCTGATCGATTCCTTTGTGAGCATTTTAATATGACTTTAAACCATTCAAACGCGAGACGACTCGCGAGCTGTTTCATGTGCAGCACACACACACACACACACCCGAAACGTGCGCACAGAAAAAGTGACTTAATGTGATTTTAAACCATTCGACTGTTTTCAGGCGTGTGTATCGGTATACTGGAGCTCTTAAAGCGACAGCACTAATTTCCCTGCAGCCGTCTCTATAACTACACTAATCAAACAACAGAAGACAAAGAGAGAATTCACTCGTTCTCGACTGAATAACTTTTGTAACTATATTTGTAATGTATCATTTAAATATAAAGTGCAGTGTTATTTTACATTTGATTAGTTTCTGAACCTGAACACCTGAAAATCTTAAAACACTTGTTTATTTCAATCATATCTTTGTTCAGCTGTATCTAATTGTTGCGATTGCTAATTTTTAATTTGTTATTTTTTAATTACTGAGTGTATACTTGTCTTTAATAATGCTTGACATTTATATTAGTAATAGACTAGTTGTTTTCTATGGTATTTTTAAACCACAGGCAGACGTTCCTTGTGTTCGTGTTCTTCAGCCTGTTGATTTTTGTTCATGATATTCAGCAACAATTAAATGTTTTGCAATAAGACTAAATGCGAATGATATCTACGTTTGTTTTACCTTATTGGAAACGAAATTAGGAAGATTGATAAGCAGAATCGAAATCGGTATCGTAATCGTTAAAATTCAAACGATGGCTTTTACATGCCAGAAAGAAGCCAGACCTGAATGTGAATAAATCACGTGCAATAAGATCAGGAATATGTCTGACAAATAAAGGTTAATTTTCATGCTGACTTCTAATGAAGTATACAGGTGAAACTCGAAAATTTAGAATATCGTGCAAAAGTTCATTTATTTCAGTAATCAGTCCCTCCAGAAAAACGTGATTATGCGATCGCATGATTTAGTGCATAATCAGCCAAAGTCCACATATTTATGCGGGGGCATTTATTCAAATACGCCGCACTTTCGCTGGATAAATTGCCGATTTCTGTGCAAAATATGCGGGGCTTGCATGATTTCATAATCCTCGCATTTTCGTTGCAAAACAGTTTGCTTCACACGAGAGCCGCCGTTTCCCCCTGTTGCCATGGGAACGGTATGAAGTGACGTAATTACGCAACGTGAACATCATCGAAAAGCTGTAAAACAGGAGCACACTTTATTTTTTATTTTTTTTTATTTGAAGAGTTTGGTTCCAAAACGCAATAAATCCATTTAGATTAATTGGAGTAAAAATGTGTTTACTTTACCAAGAAAGTGGAAAGATGAAAACCACTATTTTCTGTTTCAAACTTTCACATAGCATTTGTAGGTCATAATAACAAAACAAAAATTAAATCCAGGTTTTGATTTTCAAAGATTTATTATAAAAACGGATTATTTTTTTCCCCAAAATGCAATAAATCCATTTAAAAAAAAAAATCAAAATGCAATTAATCCATTGAATCAATATAAAAGTTTTTTTATATATATTGAAACTGTTGAAAATACACAACAACATAAGTTTATTAGTATAATATTTTTATTAAGAACTGTAAAGAAGATTGAAAACATTTTTCCTCCTCCCGAGTGCCTCATCTTCTTAATCTCCTCACGTAAATGATTCGATTTCGATGCCTTACGTTTCTTTAAAAAAAAATTATTCTTTTTTTTGTTTGTTTGTTGATCGAAAAGTACAAAATAGATAAGAAAAACTAGGAAGCCGGGTGTGTTTTAGGCGCTGCCGTTACTGTTTACATTGCGTGGAATGGTGCGCTGTGATTGGTTGAGAGCGGATATATCGCATTCTGCAGAGAAGGGAGACTGGCGTTTGTCGCGGTTTGGAAAGAAAGGGAGAAAACATGACAGAATAACACGGCGGATATCGCATTTTACTTCAAATTAAACATTGACTTTTCAATACCAACCAGATATAATACTGATTTTTGCAGTAACTGATTTTTTTTTAAAAATGGCGTTTATCGCGTTTTGGAACCAAACTCTTCATATATTCATTTTTGCAGTAGTTGTAGCATATTCCTTTTGTAAAGCTACAGAACTTGTTTGTCTCATCAATGTTTTATAAGTTTGATGTGTTTATTAAGGTCTGAAATAAAACAAGATGAAATATTCCAGCACTTTCTGTGATGTATATGCTTGCTTATCATAGGAAGTAATAAGAAATGACTCTTTACATTAAGGTAGGAGCCTAGTGAGAACAGGGTGTTGGGAGAATCACTTTTTTTTCTCCTTTTCATCAAACCGCAATTTTTGCACATTCCCGCAATTTCATTGCATAAAATTGCATAAATATCCCGCATATTCCATCACATTTTTTAGGAAAACGGGCCGCATAATCAAGGATTTTTGCAACAATCACAAAAAAACTTTGCATTTTTCTGCAAGGACTGAGATATTTCAAGCCTTTATTTGTTATAATTGTGATGATTATGGCTTACAGCTTATGAAAACCTTTTCACAATATTCTAATTTTGAATTTGGGGTTTTCATAAGCTGTAAGCCATAATCATCAAAATGATAACAAATAAAGGCTTGAAATATCTCACTTTGCATGTAATGAGTCTATATAATATATTAGTTTCACCTTTTAAGTTGAATTACTGGAATAAATGAACTTTTGCACCATATTCTAATTTTTCGAGTTTCACCTGTAACTACATGAGACGGTCCCTAAACGCTGTGAGGCACAGACACAGAGGGGTCGTGACCTTGCTTTGGTGTGTGCTGGAGGGGGTGTTCTGGGGAGACTCTGCGCCGGCCGTCGGGGGGAACGTCCGCAGCGTGACGTCCCGGGGAGAACGAACGATCTCGTTCTGACGGAACAAGCGATGGTGACGCAGCTTGCACACCCAGGTGTCAAACACATCTGGAGACTTCACCTTGAATGAGGAAGAGGAAGAGAGCATCCAGAACACATGATGAAGGCATCCGCTTACAGAACAAGAAGAAGATAAAAAGGAATTAAAATAAAGCCCAGAGACGTAAGAGTGCCTGAAGTTGAGGAAACACTGGTTCTCTCCGCAATATTTCAGTGAACGCACATAGAGACCAAGCAGTCACACACACACCTTCAGATGGTAGATGTGCTCTTCTGTGTCCAGGTCTATGCGGCGAGCTCTTTTCTTGATGGACATCACAGACAGACCCACATCTATACAGCCATGGAGCTTTCCTTTCTGAATCTGACACACACACACACACACAATAACATTTAACCATCATACATCATATTATTATATTTATTTTTATATGCAGTATGTCCCAGACATTTCTTTCCAGACAGTCAGACTGGTTTTCTGATCCAGTTCCTCTCTCTACATAGCTTTCTGTCATTTACTTCTGTTAATAATAAAAAAAGACGTAGGGTAATTAGGGGGAAGAGAACAAACCTCTCTAAAAGCACTCTGGGTCTCTCACACACACACACACACACACACACACTCATTAACACACACACACACACACACGACACACATACACACACACACCCTCAGAAACACACACATACACACACTCACGGACACACACACTCACAAAAACACACATTCACGCACAGACACACAAACACACTAACAAACACACACTCTCACACACACACACACACTCATAAACACACACAGACACACACGCTCACAAAGACACACACGGACACACACACGCATGCACACACACACGCACACACACACACACACACTCGCTCGCTCGCTCACAAACACACACACACACAAACTCTCTGTCCTTGTTGCATCAGTGCTCAGAGATGTTTCTGCTGTTGAGTCTGAGTCACGCTACAGCGAGAGCTGACAGCCAATCACAGCGCAGCGTCTCTCTGACCTACACAACTCATCATCATCATTATTCACAGAGCAGCGCGGCTCGCAGGAAGCACTCGATGCAGCGTTCACAACCCTGAACACACTCACAACCCTGAACACACTCACATCCCCGAACACACTCACAACCCTGAACACACTCACACCCCCGAACACACTCACAACCCGAACACACTCATGTCCCCGAACACACTCACGTCCCCGAACACACTCACGTCCCCGAACACACTCACAACCCCGAACACACTCACATCCCCGAACACACTCACATCCCCGAACACACTCACATCCCCGAACACACTCACATCCCCGAACACACTCACAACCCCGAACACACTCACATCCCCGAACACACTCACAACCCCGAACACACTCACATCCCCGAACACACTCACAACCCCGAACACACTCACAACCCCGAACACACTCACGTCCCCGAAAACACTCACGTCCCCGAACACACTCACATCCCCGAACACACTCACATCCCCGAACACACTCACAACCCCGAACACACTCACAACCCCGAACACACTCACAACCCCGAACACACTCACATCCCCGAACACACTCACAACCCCGAACACACTCACAACCCCGAACACACTCACAACCCCGAACACACTCACATCCCCGAACACACTCACAACCCCGAACACACTCACAACCCCGAACACACTCACAACCCCGAACACACTCACGTCCCCGAACACACTCACATCCCCGAACACACTCACGTCCCCGAACACACTCACGACCCCGAACACACTCACAACCCCGAACACACTCACAACCCCGAACACACTCACATCCCCGAACACACTCACAACCCCGAACACACTCACATCCCCCGAACACACTCACAACCCCGAACACACTCACAACCCCGAACACACTCACAACCCCGAACACACTCACGTCCCCGAACACACTCACGTCCCCGAACACACTCACGTCCCCGAACACACTCACATCCCCGAACACACTCACAACCCCGAACACACTCACATCCCCGAACACACTCACGTCCCCGAACACACTCACGTCCCCGAACACACTCACATCCCCGAACACACTCACAACCCCGAACACACTCACAACCCCGAACACACTCACGTCCCCGAACACACTCACGTCCCCGAACACACTCACAACCCCGAACACACTCACATCCCCGAACACACTCACATCCCCGAACACACTCACATCCCCGAACACACTCACAACCCCGAACACACTCACATCCCCGAACACACTCACATCCCCGAACACACTCACAACCCCGAACACACTCACAACCCCGAACACACTCACAACCCCGAACACACTCACAACCCCGAACACACTCACAACCCCGAACACACTCACAACCCCGAACACACTCACATACCCCAAACACACTCACAACCCCGAACACACTCACATCCCCGAACACACTCACATCCCCGAACACACTCACATCCCCGAACACACTCACATCCCCGAACACACTCACAACCCCGAACACACTCACATCCCCGAACACACTCACATCCCCGAACACACTCACATCCCCGAACACACTCACATCCCCGAACACACTCACATCCCCGAACACACTCACATCCCCGAACACACTCACAACCCCGAACACACTCACATCCCCGAACACACTCACAACCCCGAACACACTCACATACCCCAAACACACTCACAACCCCAAACACACTCACATCCCCGAACACACTCACATCCCCGAACACACTCACATCCCCGAACACACTCACATCCCCGAACACACTCACAACCCCGAACACACTCACATCCCCGAACACACTCACAACCCCGAACACACTCACATCCCCGAACACACTCACATCCCCGAACACACTCACAACCCCGAACACACTCACAACCCCGAACACACTCACAACCCCGAACACACTCACAACCCCGAACACACTCACAACCCCGAACACACTCACAACCCCGAACACACTCACATCCCCGAACACACTCACATCCCCGAACACACTCACAACCCCGAACACACTCACATCCCCGAACACACTCACATCCCCGAACACACTCACATCCCCGAACACACTCACATCCCCGAACACACTCACAACCCCGAACACACTCACAACCCCGAACACACTCACAACCCCGAACACACTCACATCCCCGAACACACTCACAACCCCGAACACACTCACAACCCCGAACACACTCACATCCCCGAACACACTCACATCCCCGAACACACTCACATCCCCGAACACACTCACATCCCCGAACACACTCACAACCCCGAACACACTCACAACCCCGAACACACTCACAACCCCGAACACACTCACAACCCCGAACACACTCACAACCCCGAACACACTCACATCCCCGAACACACACACATCCCCGAACACACTCACATCCCCGAACACACTCACATCCCCGAACACACTCACATCCCCGAACACACTCACATCCCCGAACACACTCACATCCCCGAACACACTCACAACCCCGAACACACTCACAACCCCGAACACACTCACAACCCCGAACACACTCACATCCCCGATCACACTCACAACCCCGAACACACTCACATCCCCGAACACACTCACATCCCCGAACACACTCACATCCCCGAACACACTCACAACCCCGAACACACTCACAACCCCGAACACACTCACAACCCCGAACACACTCACAACCCCGAACACACTCACATCCCCGATCACACTCACAACCCCGAACACACTCACAACCCCGAACACACTCACATCCCCGAACACACTCACAACCCCGAACACACTCACAACCCCGAACACACTCACAACCCCGAACACACTCACATCCCCGATCACACTCACAACCCCGAACACACTCACATCCCCGAACACACTCACATCCCCGAACACACTCACATCCCCGAACACACTCACAACCCCGAACACACTCACAACCCCGAACACACTCACAACCCCGAACACACTCACAACCCCGAACACACTCACATCCCCGATCACACTCACAACCCCGAACACACTCACAACCCCGAACACACTCACAACCCCGAACACACTCACATCCCCGAACACACTCACATCCCCGAACACACTCACATCCCCGAACACACTCACAACCCCGAACACACTCACAACCCCGAACACACTCAAATCCCCGAACACACTCACATTCCCGAACACACTCACAACCCCGAACACACTCACATCCCCGAACACACTCACATCCCCGAACACACTCACATCCCCGAACACACTCACAACCCCGAACACACTCACAACCCCGAACACACTCACAACCCCGAACACACTCACATCCCCGAACACACTCACAACCCCGAACACACTCACAACCCCGAACACACTCACAACCCCGAACACACTCACAACCCCGAACACACTCACAACCCCGAACACACTCACAACCCCGAACACACTCACATCCCCGAACACACTCACAACCCCGAACACACTCACAACCCCGAACACACTCACATCCCCGAACACACTCACAACCCCGAACACACTCACAACCCCGAACACACTCACAACCCCGAACACACTCACAACCCCGAACACACTCACAACCCCGAACACACTCACAACAACCCCGAACACACTCACAACCCCGAACACACTCACAACCCCGAACACACTCACAACCCCGAACACACTCACAACCCCGAACACACTCACAACCCCGAACACACTCACAACCCCGAACACACTCACAACCCCGAACACACTCACATCCCCGAACACACTCACATCCCCGAACACACTCACAACCCCGAACACACTCACAACCCCGAACACACTCACATCCCCGAACACACTCACATCCCCGAACACACTCACAACCCCGAACACACTCACAACCCCGAACACACTCACAACCCCGAACACACTCACATCCCCGAACACACTCAAAACCCCAAACACACTCACAACCCCGAACACACTCACAACCCCGAACACACACACATCCCCGAACACACTCACATCCCCGAACACACTCACATCCCCGAACACACTCACATCCCCGAACACACTCACATCCCCGAACACACTCACAACCCCGAACACACTCACAACCCCGAACACACTCACAACCCCGAACACACTCACAACCCCGAACACACTCACAACCCCGAACACACTCACATCCCCGATCACACTCACAACCCCGAACACACTCACAACCCCGAACACACTCACAACCCCGAACACACTCACAACCCCGAACACACTCACATCCCCGAACACACTCACAACCCCGAACACACTCACAACCCCGAACACACTCAAATCCCCGAAAACACTCACATTCCCGAACACACTCACAACCCCGAACACACTCACATCCCCGAACACACTCACAACCCCGAACACACTCACAACCCCGAACTCATAACCCCGAACACACTCACATCCCCGAACACACTCACAACCCCGAACACACTCACAACCCCGAACACACTCACAACCCCGAACACACTCACATCCCCGAACACACTCACAACCCCGAACACACTCACATCCCCGAACACAACCCCGAACACACTCACAACCCCGAACACACTCACAACCCCGAACACACTCACAACCCCGAACACACTCACAACCCCGAACACACTCACATCCCCACACACTCACATCCCCGAACACACTCACAACCCCGAACACACTCACAACCCCGAACACACTCACATCCCCAAACACACTCACATCCCCGAACACACTCACAACCCCGAACACACTCACAACCCCGAACACACTCACAACCCCGAACACACTCACATCCCCGAACACACTCACAACCCCGAACCCCGAACACACTCACAACCCTGAACACACTCACAACCCCGAACACACTCACAACCCCGAACACACTCACATCCCCGAACACAACCCCGAACACACTCACAACCCCGAACACACTCACAACCCCGAACACACTCACAACCCCGAACACACTCACAACCCCGAACACACTCACAACCCCGAACACACTCACATCCCCAAACACACTCACATCCCCGAACACACTCACAACCCCGAACACACTCACATCCCCGAACACACTCACATCCCCGAACACACTCACAACCCCGAACACACTCACAGCCCCGAACACACTCACAACCCCGAACACACTCACATCCCCGAACACACTCACAATCCCGAACACACTCACAACCCCGAACCCCGAACACACTCACAACCCCGAACACACTCACGTCCACGGGAGACTTGGAGTACTTCAGGATCCCATTATCCAGAACGAAAAAACGCTGTGTAGAAGACAGAAGGAAACAGTATTAGTTCAATGAATATTTACTGTAAATACACATAATAAGGAATAAAGGGTGAAATATAAGAAAAACAAACCAATGGAAATTTAAATACTATTAATATTCAAACAAATAAGCTCTTTAACACCAAGAATAAACACAGGGTTCGTACAGATTCGGTAAAATGAAATTGCAGGACTTTTCAAGCACTACTTTTTTTAGATTTCAAGGACTACAATTAGCACTTATCAAACAATATCTGTATTTTTTTTTTTTTTTAAATATACTCAAATTACATATATAAATAGCATCTGATGTTTCACTTCACAGAGATCAATCCATTGACCAGCGTCAAGCATGGCAAATCCCCTTAACCACTGAAACGATACTATGACAAAGATATCGCCTTCCTTATTCCAACTGATTTTTTCCATGAATATATGATTGACCTGAAGAATGAAAGTTGTATTATATACTTATCATGAAACTTAAAGGTCCCGTATTATGCCCCTTTTCACAAGATGTAAAATAAGTCTCTGATGTCCCCAGAATGTGTATGTGAAGTTTCAGCTCAAAATACCCAACAGATCATTTTTTACAGCATGTTTAAATTGTCATTTTTTGTGGCTCAGAAAAACGCAGTAGCACCTCAATGCAGTACATGAGATCCACGGGGAGGAGCCGGATCAAGATCCAAGGGGTGGAGATGGGTAGGATTAGGGGTGGGTTTAGGGATTAGGGGGCGGAGATGGGTAGGTTTAGGTATATGTAAGGTGGGAGGAGTCGGATCTGGATCCGACTCCTCCCCGTGGATTTCATGTACTGCATTGAGAACCATCTCGAAAAACGCGCTGTTTTAGTGTGTGCCCTTTAAATGCAAATAAGCTGCTGCTGCCGGCACAGGGGGCGGAGCTTCATGAGCTCGCGCTCAGTCTCTCAGGACAATTTCATCTCACGGAATGATGATAATATCAGAAACTCTCAGTAACGGTGTTTATTTCGAGTCGGACAATAATGCCTACAGAGTCAGAGTGCTGTATAGAGATGGAACAGGTATAGTTTATTACGGTTATTATAACGTATTTGTCATCTGCTTGTATGTATCCATTATTTATTAATAGCCTACAAGTCTGCTGTTTCGTACCAGGTCCGAATAGGGTTGCCACCTGTCCAGGTTTTACCGGGATTGTCCTTCTTTTTAATAACTTGTCCCGGGAAATGTATGCACTCTCCCGGGACACTGAATGTCCCGGTTTTCGAAAGGCTACGTGAATATGTTCAAACTGTGTAGCGCGCGCACGACAGAGAGGGAGAGAGCGAGAGACCTTGCGTGTGTGTGCTAGTGTGCGTGTGTGTGTGCCTCAAAAAGCGCATGTAAGAAGCGCGCATGTAATCGCTTTCCCCCGTTGGGCGGGTCATCGATATGTAAAGAGGCGAATGTAAGATCCCCCCAACCATAATAAAATAAAATAAATAAAATATCTCACTTGGCATTGAACTTTGAGCTTTATAATTTTACAGATATTATTTATACTCTAACAACAACATTACACACTAACTAAAGTTTGAAACATGGGATCACAAAGAACGGGACCTTTAATATCATGTGAAATAGCTCTATATCTCAGATTTACACTTAGTTTGTGGAAATATCATGTATTTTAATAATTCAAGCACTTTTCAAGTTCCTCTTCAAAAATATGGCTCTTTTCTTCAGTTACTGGAAAAATAATAAACACAAAAAAATAATAATTAATAATTAGTAGACTTTTAGAACTGTGCCACAAGTTCTGCTTGTATCACATAGTTACTGACTCCTTGTAAGACCTCATGTATTAATGGTTGTGCTCTTGTTGTTAATTTTTTTTCTTTACTTCTTTTTTTCTTCTTTTAATTTTTTTCTTTACTTTTTTCACCTCCTTGATGTGTACAAAAAAGGAAAAACTGTTAAAAAAAAAAAGATTTAAAAAAACAGTTCACGGGTTTTCCAGAACTTAAGTTTCAAAAAGTCACATTCAACACTTTAAACACCTTGTACAAACCCTGTAAACAGATTGCTGGTCTTAAGTGGTTTAAGCTGGTTTAGCTGGTCTCCCAGCCTGGAAAACTCCCAAACTCACTAAAACCAGTGAATCAGAGCAGCGGGATCAGACTGGTTTGTTGGTTTTCGGCTCTAACCTTGTGCCAGCCCTTCAGGGGCCATTTCCTCCGCTTCAGCATGAAGCCCTCGTGCTTCTCTGGCCTCTGCACATGAGTCTGCCCGATCCTCAGGCCCTCGATGATCTCCCAGCTATCCGTCTCCTACACAGGGACACCATCAGATAGAAGAAAACCAAACCAGTGGAAATGTAAAAGCCATTAATCATTCATTAACACTAATAATAAACACGAGACACAAATATTGAGAGAGTTAGAATGAATGAATCAATGAATGAATGAACGAAAGATTAAATGAATATAATATAATATGAATATCATGTAGTCCCATTACTACATGAAGTGTTTAAAAACGGATTAAATTTTGTTATACATTTATCGCAGATGCTTTGTTGATTGCTCAAGATGATTGTATGATCTTGTGAATACCCTGCTCTAACTTTTGGAAATTGGGGTATGAGAATAATTTCTGTTTTGACTGAAGTACACTAAGTGCTTTAGAGAAACAAAAAACCTAAAAGAGTAATACAATAAGACTTAAATAAATAATTTATTTTATGTTAAAATGGTCGGGTAACTGTCTGCAGTTCTGTAACGAGTGATAGAATAATTTCATGATTACCACCGGCACACACAGTCCTGATTTAGCAGTCAATATTAGTTTGCGAAAAAAGCTAAAAATAAATTAAATTAAATTAAAAAAAAAAAGCTTTTGGATCGAAAGTGTTTACAGCTAATTTCAACTGACTGATCAAAATGCCAAACTCATTAGAAACATCATTAAACACACATCAGACCAGTGAGGCTCGACTGAGTGAACGCATTATCTACAAACACGCATGAGTTGGGAGAAAAGTATTCGATTTTATAGCATACACTTTTAGAAGATACTGTGAGGTGTTTAACACCATGTGTACACGCACATCACTTTCTGAATAAGTTGCATATTCTGGTTGTTTTATTCTGAAAAAGACTTGCAAATGCATCACAGTTATTGAAATATTCCTTGTTCGACTGGATGTCCTGAATAAAGTGCATGAACAACTGCAGATGAACATTAACTCTGGGACACACAGTCGCGTCAAATGGAAACATGTATGTTTAATAATGAACATGGTCCCTTACAAATGAATACAAATAAATAGAATAAATAAATAAACAAAATGCCAGGTGTCACATTTAAATTTTTTGAAGCCATTATCAGAATAAATCATTTTAAAATCTCATCACAAAACATTACATCAAATAGCAAAAGAAGCAAAAGAGTTTCTTTATCTCATATACACTCACCTAAAGGATTAGTAGGAACACCACACTAATACTGTGTTTGACCCCCTTTCGCCTTCAGAACTGCCTTAATTCTACGTGGCACTGATTCAACAAGGTGCTGAAAGCATTCTTTAGAAATGTTGGCCCATATTGATAGGATAGCATCTTGCAGTTGATGGAGATTTGTGGGATGCACATCCAGGGCACGATGCTCCCGGTCCACCACATCCCAAAGATGCTCTATTGGGTTGAGATCTGGTGACTGTGTGGGCCATTTTAGTACAGTGAACTCATTGTCATGTTCAAGAAAACAATTTGAAATGATTCGAGCTTTGTGACATGGTGCATTATCCTGCTGGAAGTAGCCATCAGAGGATGGGTACATGGCGGCCATAAAGGGACGGACATGGTCAGAAACAATGCTCAGGTAGCCCGTGGCATTTAAACGATGCCCAATTGGCACTAAGGTGCCTAAAGTGTGCCAAGAAAACATTCCCCACACCATTACACCACCACCACCAGCCTGCACAGTGGTAACAAGGCATGATGGATCCATGTTCTCATTCTGTTTACGCCAAATTCTGACTCTACCATCTGAATGTCTCAACAGAAATCGAGACTCATCAGACCAGGCAACATTATTCCAGTCTTTAACTGTCCAATTTTGGTGAGCTCTTGCAAATTGTATCCTCTTTTTCCTATTTGTAGTGGAAATGAGTGGTACCCGGTGGGGTCTTCTGCTGTTGTAGCCCATCCGCCTCAAGGTTGTGCGTGTTGTGGCTTCACAAATGCTTTGCTGCATACCTCGGTTGTAACGAGTGGTTATTTCAGTCAAAGTTGCTCTTCTATCAGCTTGAATCAGTCTGGCCATTCTCCTCTGACCTCTAGCATCAACAAGGCATTTTCTCCCACAGGACTGCCACATACTGGATGTTTTTCCCTTTTCACACCATTCTTTGTAAACCCTAGAAATGGTTGTGCGTGAAAATCCCAGTAACTGAGCAGATTGTGAAATACTCAGACCGGCCCGTCTGGCACCAACAACCATGCCACGCTCAAAATTGTTTAAATCACCTTTCTTTCCAATTCTGACATTCAGTTTGGAGTTCAGGAGATTGTCTTGACCAGGACCACGCCCCTAAATGCATTGAAGCAACTGCCATGTGATTGGTTGATTAGATAATTGCATTAATGAGAAATTAAACAGGTGTTCCTAATAATCCTTTAGGTGAGTGTATAAATCATTGGCATGAATAAGTTAACCGTAAGCCTACTTCAATTACAGTCAAAGGTTTATTTTAAGTATAAAAATGTATACTTAAATAGTTAACTTAAACTAAACGTAGTAGTAGTAGTTTATTGAGATTAGACTTCAAAGTGCAAATTCATAAACTAAAAAGTGGGTTAGAAGTATGAGAGTAAATTAGTGTCGCTCACAGTGGGTTGCAATACAAAAGAAAAACTTGAATGTAAACTATAGTTTACACTTAAAATACAAGTAAAAGTTGTAAAGCCTATCCCTCAGATATTCGTCACAATAAGGAAGTTCCTACTTCCGTTTCATGGCCACTTTAATGAAATGAACTTGAAGCACAGATGTAACTATAGGTAAGCAGGGTACGCGGTTGCTTACGGGCCCAGACCAATCAGGGGCCAGGGTGGCTGGAAGATATTGATTGACAGCCGGGGACCCCTGTCGCATTTAACTACTTTTAGTCTGATCGCATTTTACTTTATCGCAAATTTATTTGAATAAATAAATGACAGCAACATATTTTACAGATCATTAAATACATGTGTGAAAGGAACAATGATGGATTTTGGTGTAATTTGTTTCCAATTGGGACTGGGGAATCCCTGGGTCGGTAACGTTAAATGAACTTGCGTATTGCGTGCAAAACATTAAAAAAGTTTAACTTGAGACAGACAATATCGATATGGAGTCGTCAAGTTACAAAAAGTTGCTTTCAAAACCAAAAACGAAAAGAGCATTTTGAGAAATGAATGAGTAAATTACCAAAAATATGAAGCTTCTTTAAAAAGATAGCACAGGAGGGGGAGATCGAGCTGGAGCAAGAGAGTGAAGGACTTGAAGCGACCGTTGGCATAGCAGTGTGTAACACTGTGTTATGGTGCGCCGTCACCAGTGTTTTTTTTGTTGTTGTAGTGCGCGTAGGCTACTCCTGATTTTGTCAGTCATCTCATCTTTTATATGTTGTGTCTCTATGGCTGCGTTCACACTGCAGGGGCTTAATGCTCAATTCCGATTTTTTGAAAAAATTTTTTTTTTTTGCAAGGCCGTTCACATTTCCAATTAAATGCGATCTCCTGTGTGAACATGAAATGACCCAGAAGTGACCCGCATGCGCAGAAGAGTACTCAACGGTCAATTCCCGCCTACTTCAACGCAGAATTATGACGTTTGTCGCATATCAATGACGCGCGGGTCGGATACAAGTGACCTGGCCGTTCAGATTGAAGTCGCATTTAAAAAGATCGGATACATATCGGATTTGGACCACATACCCAAGTGGCCTGGGTCGCATTTGAAAAGATCGGATCTGTGTCGTTTCAGCCTGCAGTGTGAATGTAGCCTATGATCCTATCCTGTCCTATTCATGGTAATGTTAGCCGACTCGTGGACATTGCGTCATCACGTGCTGTAGTAGGGGGGCCCGCCTTGATAATCCTGCATATAGGGCCCGTTGTTGGCTTGTTACGCCACTGACTTGAAGTATACTTCTTTTTTTGTATGGGTAAATGTGAGCATCAGAATGCTGATGGCTGCTTTAGAAACAACGCTCATTAGTTCATGTTAATAATATCTGATATTCAGCTCCTTCTGTCGCCACAGTGACAGAGAGTTGAGGCTTATTTGCCCTCTTCCTGAAGTGTAATAATCAGTATCATCTGTATTGACCAGTTGTGTCACATTATGTAGCGACTACTCTTTCTATCAATTCAAAACTATTTATTTATTGTATTCTGTCAGCAAAAGTATTGGATAATAGGCAAATAGGATAAAATAAACGTAAATGATGACTACAAAGTCTATTCCGAATGTTTACAAATTTCTTCAGTTGCTCCTACAGAGTTTGTGAAGACTTGAATGAGGTCCTACTTTGTTGAAATTCAATCTATTATAGTAATTATTGATTTAGCAGCCCTTTTCTGTCTCAGTGGGCAGTTCTTGTCTGTAACTGGCTTTAACATACTTTATTGTCATAAACCAACCAAGTCAGCTGAGAGGAATGAGACCATCATGTGGTTAATATTGGAGCTTTGTTGATGTGTTTTTTAATCCTCATGGACAAAACAATGGGAAAAATATTTCCTGAACAACTCTGAAAAAGTGAGCGGTCACTAGGGGCTTTCGCACCGGAGGAACCTTTTCATAGTTCCTACAACTATTGCCGGAAGTTCCTGGATTTTGGCATGTTCACACCACAGGAACTGGGAACGATTCAGTTCTAGGAACTCCTTTTGGAGGTAATAATTGAGCTCCTACTTCAGAGTAGGTCTAAACCATCACTAAAGGAACTACCAGTGACGTTAGTTTGATTGGCCGAACGCACGCGAAACACCAGCACCCGCCATTTAAAAAAAAGCTGTGTAAACACACAGATTATAGCCTATATATTTACTCCACAAACTAACTCTATGAACAAGGAAAACAGTGATAGATGAAGCTCTTAACCTTTACACTAAGGAGAAAATCCAACGCAACTTTGAGGGGATCAAGCGAAACTTGATTATGTATTTCTGCTTAGCTAGCAACATTACAGTCTACTTTCTATGTATAACAGTTCTATCTAATAGCGTATTAGACAGGACTGTTGGACAGATCGTAAACTAATGAACACAGAGCACATTGAGCACTGTTTGTTTGCTCAGTCTCTGGCGTTCCCAGCGCAGTCAAAATAAAAGTCACAAAAACAAGCTTGGCTTACGTCAATGTGAATGCAACCAGAATGCAACCTAAGGGAACCATTAGTTCTTTCCACTGCATACAACAAACAACAGCCATCGGACTGGAAGTCATCCATTTCCAATGGAGAGTAGTATGTATTATGTATTATGTAGTAATATGCATATAAGGAAATTTCGGATGTGTTGAAATAACTTCTGCGGCTAGACCGTATGCGACCGGCCGACCGGATGTGATGAATTTTAATCAAAACTATGAGCGTGAAGCTAGAATTACCAATATTTTAACACTTTAACGTTATTCTGTAGACCCTATTCCTGTAAAATGGCGGTTATTAATAATTATGACAGAAATAATTATTTTATAATGACTAAATCAATATTTATGTTGATTAGCTCTATAAAATCTACTATGTTTTTATTTTAGATGTATTGAGGGTCAATTGTTTTGTGTGGATATACTCATCCATGCATTACATTAATTAAAATCATTAATTTTACCATGGTGAATAAGCCGAGGGTAACGGTTGCTTCACGAACAATTGACCCTTCGCAGGGAGTTTGATTGACAGGCGATCTGACCAATCATAATCCGCCATCCGCCGAATCTGACGTTTAGTCCGACAAAGCAGTCAGGAGAGTTAGTAGATATAATGTCGGTGGCCTTGAAACTTGATAAACGGTGTGTACTACTGACGTCTTTCCGCGGTTGAAACAACATTCCTTCTGATGTTCATTCATGTTTATTTGATGATATAAATGAACTAGAAGGAAGAGATGATCGGTTCCCGACCAGCTTTAACTGAGCCGTACAGTGATCTGTCAGACACATTCAAGAGCCACAAAACGGCATTTATTGTTTAAATTTCTTACAAAAATTACCAAATTTGAAAGTTGAGACTTTGTTTCATAAAGTAACTTGCTCTGTCATATCGGTCGACGTGTTGTCAGTGTCCTCTCTGCTCCGCAATATATTTTTCACTGCGTGAGAACATGATGTGTGGCGTGAGAGCGGCGTGGCTTGTCGAACACAGCAACAGTCACTAAAAGGGGCGGGTCTTTGCGAAAAGTCAATTTCAAATTTCAAAAAGTCGCTCTCACCTGTCGACTGTCTCTCTGAGACGAAGAGGAGGAGGACGCGCTCTTGTGGGTGGGGGTGGAGCTTTTGTGTAAAGGGGTGGAGCTCTTGTGGATGGGCGTGGCCCCCTTCTCCTCCACGCTGGTGGCTCGGCTGTGATGACGAGACATGATAGCGGCTGCTGTCCACCTTCTGCTCTCTCTCAACCTTTTTATTTAGTGTCTCTTCTTGTCCCTTCAAAGCACAGCATGACCTTTGAATCCTTGTGCAGCCAAACGATTGAGCGCTTTCACCTGAAACACAAACGGGAGGAGGAAATGAGAGTTAGAAACATGGTGACAGAGAGGTCAAAGAGGTCATTACGGGTTTAAAGATGTCAAATTTATCATGGTTCAGTTTTTATATTGGCTTTATGGTCACGGTTTCAATTCATTAAAGATTTTATGTCGCAATCTCTGATGCACCAGGTAGGAAATATGATGCGATAACACTGTATTGAATTTCTTTAGCTACAATTATAATAGAATTATAAAACAAATTTAAAGTCCCCCTGTGGTGAAAATCCAGCTTTTAATGTTGTTTATATGTCCATGTGGTGTTCTTAATATGCTTTAAGACAAACCATGTGTAAATTCATAAGTCGACAGCATTGCTGAGTATTTTCTCCTTAAAGGCACACTATGCAAGAATTGTACCTTAATATAACAGCTTCAAAGTCATTTCGGTGGTAAACAAACTCATAGTAGGGCGAATCATCCTGGTAGTAAAGCTTGGGGGGGACAACCCCTGGAAAAACCAGCAATGCAAGTTTGAGAGGAGCGCCCCCGACAAATCTCGCGAGAATCACGAGATGCTTTACGGCAACGACGTCACACACATCAACAACAACATTTGAAGCACGAAGACACTTGCGCGCATTTCAGACGTGATACTCGACGATGGAAAAAGCAAAGAAAACGCGGTCGGAAGAGACTAGGAAAAGGAAAAGAGAATCTGACCGCGTGAGGAACCGGACAAGAGTCCCACTCGGTCGGGCTTTCACTCGTTGGCGCGAGCTAAAAAGCAGCGCTGGATGCAACAGTGATGCTGACCTGGCGATCTTGTTTATGGACTAGTAAGTAAATCTTTATAAGTTTGTGTGCATTTTATTTTGTGATTTCACCGGAATGAATAGTCTCCGCAACGGCGATAGATTGAAGAGCGCGTCCAAGTAAAGACTGCGAGACACTGATGACACTGACACTGATAGCAGCGGACACGAGCGCTCAGGATGAGTTCAAAAACACATTTTAGCGCTAGATCTCTTATTTAAAGGCACACTATGCAAGATTTGTACCTTAATATAACAGCTTCAAAGGGTATCAAAAGGGTATCAGCCCGTGAGTGTAGAGACCAGTCTATGGCAGACGCTCAGTGTGAGTGGCATTTATGACAGTAACGTTAAATACAAGTACTCCACAGCGACTCTAGGGGTCGCTGTTTGACAAAAACGAAATTCCTGCATAGTGTGCCTTTAAAACTGCAGTGAACCACCATGACGTCACAAACGACCTTGTAACCAATCAGATCAACGTGTGATCGTCAACCAGTGGATCTCTGAGCTGAGTGAGTGAGTGGAGGCGGGGCTCATTTGCATATTCACAGAACCACATCTAATAAATGAGGCAAGGGTGTCGAGTTACATTCAAGCAATTTTTTTTCAAGAATAAAAGGATTTAAATATCATGTCATTTTGGTGATCAAAGATGAGTTTTAAGGGATAAAATGATTGACTACAGGGGGACTTTAAATAAAATACATTTAACAGGGCTTGGTGATATAAATTACTTATATTACAAGTAAATTATTTAAAAATATATTTTTTTAAAAAACAACTAAACTTCACCCAGAAGAAGCATTTGTGTGTTTTATTCTCAAAATGTTAATTCTTGAATATGAAATAACTAACGATGACTTCCATATTATGATAATGACTTGTTTCAACTTATCGGCTTTTCTGTCATTTATTAATAAATCAAGCAGCTCGTCTAGTCTCTTCAATGTCAGGAAGTTCATATTGCCACAGCAATGAATTGCACAGCTTATGAATGAGGGTTGGAAATTCGATGATCATTGATCAGAGATCTCATCCAATCTGCATCGAGCAGGACTCATCATGTTTTTCGCCCTGTCAGTGTCATTAAGAGACAGTCTATGGGCCGTACGACAGTCCTTGAGTTACAGGCTTCACTAGGGTTGGGGATCACAAAGAATTTAACGATTTAATTTCTACTTAATTATTCCATTATTGATTCTTCTAACAGACCTATGCTCCAGTCTTCATGCAAAACAAAAACAATGATATTTTAGTTGCATGTTTTATTGTTTCTTTTTCTAATATTATTTTTAAAATGCTATTTATAACAATGAAATTGTGTTCAAAATCCATGGCGCCAATTCACTAAAAGTCAAGGCGTGGCAAGGTCAGATGACATCATCCAATCTAACAATATCATGTGACAAATATCAATTCAATTAGGTGTAGAGTGACAGAAGAGAGAAAGACAAAACTGCAGTTAAAAATTAACCAACAGCATCAAATTAGAAACAATCATGCACTGTAGCTTTGGATTTAACCTGGCAACTGCTGATATAGCCTATTATCAAATTTAAAAATAGCTATTTTCACCTCTTACCTTATGATTTTACAAAAAACAAGAAATTACTAACTTTTGCCTAGCACAAAGTTTTGTCGCAAAGCGAGTGATTTACTCACAATGTTGACGGCTGTCCAAAGTGACGTATAGATGCGAATACCAAATACCAAAATTTCAATGATAGAGTAGAAGTGGAATTTTTTTTCTAAACATTAGTTTTATCCTTCTGAAAAAAAAGTACACTTTAGCATACTTTTAAAAAGAGTACCTATTACGTAAATAATATACTTTAAAAGAATATACTTAAGTGTGAATGTTTTAGGACACTTAAATGATTGTTTAAAGCAATTAAATTAAAATATATTATATTTCAAATGCTGCCACACCCCTGAAATATTATGAAGACTTAATGATTTAATATGTACCTTAAGGAAAAGCTTTTAATTTGACATTATTTTTTAAAAGTGTACTTAAGTCTGTTAAGGAACAGTCATGATAGTGCTCTCTTTAAGTACACTTAAGTGGCCTTTTATTTCATTAATATTATATTGTCTGCAAGTACATTTGAAGTACACTACAAATGCAAATTCAATACAATTAAGGGCACCTCTTTTTCACACGGGTAATTAGTCAAGTGCTCCTAGAAGAACTGTTTTGGTTAATAATAGTACGGGCAACTCCAGGCTTCTTCAAGAGATGCACTGTATAAATGTGCAGGTGTTTCGAAGAGGAAAGAATAATGTCGGGGGGTTTAGGACATTCTGTGAGTACAGTGTGTAACTGTCGATGTGTGTATGTGGTATAGTCTCTGCATGAGTCTTCATGCAGCAGTATTGATTAGTCATGCAGTATGGAGAGACTTTGACCAGCCTAATTAGACCCAAAGGAACACACACACACACACACACACACAGTCATCCTGATAGCTACAATTTGAGAAAAGCTGTTTCAATAGTGGGCACAGTTACAAGTGAGATAACAGGATACATCTGTACTGGCCTTCCCAACCCAAACATGCTTAGCAAGCACTCTGGGGAAAACACAAACAGTACATGAACACACACATCTATAATTTAAGGGCTTCCACCCCCTCCTCCAGCACATTAACTGCGCCGCGGGAGCCCGGGGGGAGACGCGGGGAAACCTGCATCACATGCTCAACCCGCCACATGAAGTGATAATGTTTCCTCAACAAATTTATACTCGCCATTTTCCCTCAGCAGCAGCTTCACACGCTGATAAATGAAACCTGCACTGAGCCCAGCTAAAATCTTAATGATTTGACTGATACAATGAATTGAAACCACAAACTAGTTTTATTGATCTGTTTTCCTCTTTGCTTTTAGGTCTTATCACACTTTACACCAGTGAGAAGAAAATACACATACACACACAGAGAGTGAATGTGTGAAACACATCGGATATTGTGGCAGCAGACTCTCTGGAGACTGTCCAGTAAAGTTGCCTGAAGCTAATTATCAGGCTTATGTCCTGTTTTATGTGTTTTAAATTTTACAATGGGTTGGTTTTTGCTGTTTTCTGTTTCCGTTGCTCCTCTTTCCTGCTTAGTCTCCTAGGTTACTCATTGTTTGATTATCGTTTGCACCTGATGTTCATTTAGTTGATTGGTTTGCTCTTGTATTTAATGCCGTGTTCCAGGCAACCTGTAACCCGTGTTTTTCCAACCTTTTACCCGTGAAAGTGCACTGGAACGGCAGTCAAACCCGTGACTTCCCACCCGTGAACTCGTACTAGATCGATGTACTCCCAGTTACGAGCTCTGATGTCACATAGCCCGCAAAACCATACAAAACGACAATGGCAGCCCCTACGGATGCAGTGTTTCTGCAGGCAGTACACGGTGAGAATACACTTTAGGAGAATATAACGTTAACTAGTTTTCAGTCCATTGAGTGCAAGGATAAATTAATACCAAATACATTTCCAAATATACAAATAAAGTAAAATAAAAGGTATAACAGCTTATCTTGCCTTATGTGCCGTTTTTCCTCCGTTTCTCTCAAATAAACAAGGAGTAAGCACCTTTGGCGACAGAAATTATTACAAATGCGCATAGGCCCCGTAAGGTCCGCCATGCTGGTTTGTTTACATCTAGCTACCACAATTCCTTGCGCTCAGGTAGTTTGGCGTGACTGGCCTGGAACGCTACAAAGTCGTGGTTTGAAGTCGTGATTTACATGCTCAAAAACCTGCCTGGAACGCAGCATAAGCTCATCCTCATGTCCTCATCAGTACTAAGTTGATCTGTTCATGTTACTGACATTCTAGAGTGTTTTGTGAAGATTTGAGTTTGTTTTATAATAAAAGTAGCTGCTGTGCTGCATCTAGATCGTGCACACGTGACGCTACTGAAGGTCTCAGGACTTATTTTTACTCACCTTCACTGCAGTAATAAATGGACAGATTAGGACGTTCATTTGTTCAGTTCTTTCAAACTGAGGTGTAAAATGAACATCTCTTTTATCTCATATTATCTATTATCTTTCTGCTTTTAAACTCATGAGACCAGACAAGAGTGGACAAAAAATTGGCCTTATGTTCACAATATTGGTTAGTTATTACATTACCAACAAAATAATATCAAATAAAGTACATCACTTTCACTTACATCACTGTCATGTCAGATTGGCTTATGC